TTTAAGTCATCTTTATTTAATTTTAATTGGTTCTGTGAACCCAAAAACTCCTTGTAAAATGAACTTGATCAATAATGTTGTAGTAACTTGTAAGATTAAGTTAATATCAGTTAAAATTACTTAGAAACATTTACTTAAAAAATTATGTTTCTTTAACTTATAAAATTTAGTTAATATAACTTTAAAATTTCGATGTAATCAGTTTCAACTATTTTTTTGAGTTATATTAACTTATCCGGTTTTACAGTGTAGTCAATGGTTAAATATTTGGATAAAAAGAACAGTTTCCTAGAGACATCAGTAGTATTGGTATCAGTGTCACTCACCTTCAATCATAAAAAAGGTGCGATTAAATATATATAAAAAACATACGGTCTTTAAATTTTTTTTCTACATTATTAAAAACATTATTAAAAATTATTGGTACAAGTGTACCAACAGTTTCTCCTCCACAGCAGGGGTTCAGAATCGAAGGCAAACCTTTGTGAGTGTCTTCCTGAGAGTGGGGGTCAGGACGGGGTGAGGGCAGGAGTGAACGGTCAGGGAGGAGAGGGAAGGAAAAAGTGAAATAGAGAGAGAGAGTGAGAGAGGCTCTAGCACAGCTGTGACCTGAATGAGTCCCTCCCCTCGTACCTCTGGGGTCCGGGAACAAGCACGAGCCTGTCAGCGGCCTACTTTCCCAAAGTATGATTCTAGGCCATTATCTGTGTTACCACTGGTGGGGCTCCAGCGGGCTCAACGGATCCGCAGAACAATCCTTTTCATCACCCGTGAATGCGTGAGGGAGGGCCGGCTGTTTGGAAGTGTTACTCTGAGAGGAACGTATCTTACAGGAGGGAGTCAAGGTGAGGTCGACTGCTAGGAGCAGGAGGACAGAGAAGGAGACAGAAAAAATAGCAGGGAGATAAAAGGAGAGAGATTATCAACCAAACTACTGCACATTGTGATTGGACTGCTGTTCATTGATATTTTGTTATATAATGCAAAGAAATTTATACGTACATACAAGTTTGACCCAAGTCTATAAATAAAAACACACAAAATTATATTTTGAAAATAAATTGGATCTAAACAACAGTGTATACAATAAATGTATATTTTTGTAAGTATCTTTGTGTTCCACAAATGAAAGAAAGTAATTTGGAATGACATGAGGGTGAGTAAATGATGACATTTTTGAGTTTGAACTGTGCCGTTAAGGTTCGTGTTCAACCATGATGGAGAATTTATAGACAATCCCTAAGCTTTCTGACTAATCAGATCATTCCTTCATAGACTGTATGTGAGCCACTGTCCACTCTGTCAATATACTGTCACATTCCTCAGTCAACAACTGACTTGTTATTTCAGCAGTTATTTTAGCTGAAATAAGTTTAACTGCCATACAGTAGCCTCTTGTGTATCTTATGTCTCTTTGCTCACCAAGACTGCTTGATTGAAAATACAATAAAAACAGTAACATTGTGAAATATTACAATTTAAAATAACTGTTTTATGTCATAATATTGTTAATATATTGTAAAATGTAATTTAATCCTGTGATGCAAAGTTGAATTTTCAGCAGCCATTACTCCACTCAGTGTCACAAAAGGACAGCATTGATTTTAAATAGTAAAAACATTTATAATGCTACAAAAGATTTCTGTGACTGTTGATCAGTTTAATACATCCTTGCTGAATAAGAGTATGAAAAAATCCTCCTGAATCCAAACTATCAAAATATCAAACAATAGTCAATCAATTTAACTATCGACATGCTCCACTAAGTTTTGACAACCACAATACTAATCCAAATAGCCTACTTTTTTGTATCTTAATTTAGAACAGTATATTTTCTGTTATTATCAAAGCAGTTCTATCTATACAAATGAAAACAGGATGCAGGAACAACAGCAGTAAAAAAATAAAAAAAAATAAAATACATTTTGGTTTCCAGATGAAAATTGTGCTGCTCCTGACAGGATGAAAAATGATACTACAGCAAACACAATAAAAGATTTCATCTTCCCCATAAAACTTGAAGTACCAAGTGGCACTGTTCATAAAGCACAAACTATATGTCTACCGCTGGACAGATTCATACACAGACAAGTTTTTGATCTCCATTTCCTCTTGCAAGCTAGTTAGATTAATTTTTAATTAAGCTTCAGACAACAATAGCTCAAATTAAACCATATGGTGCTTTTTTTTTTTTGTCTTTTTAAAAGCTTTACAGCCGCTGGTGATTGTGTGTTTTCATTGTATAGAAAAGAGCAGCGTAAACACTCAACAAAATGTCTCCTTTTCTGTTCAATGGAAGAAAGTAAGTCATACAGGAAAGTGAGAAAATCATGACAATTTGGGTGTGCCAAGATACCAAATTCTGCAAAATATCAGTCAGAAATGAGATGTGAACAGTCAGAAATTTTTTTGTTTGTTTGTTTGTGAATGCGTTTGAGGCTTTTGTGAGTGTATTTGTATGTGTGCATTTGAGTGAGAGAGAGGGATCAGAGTGTTTGTGTGAGTGTGTTCGATCTGCTGCTTGTTTTGATCAGTCTCTAGTAGATGCAGAAGGAGTCTCAGCATCTGTCTCAGCAGCTGGAGGGTGTCACACACACAAATACACACATACGTGGGTCAGTTATCCTGACCTCACACTGCCGCTGCTTGTCCTGCCTTGACCTGCTCTATCACACGCGCGCACACACATGCAGAGAGCGTGCAGGCTGTGAAAGGGCTAGAAGGAAGTTTGACGGAGAGAAGAAAATAAAGGCGCAGCGAGTATTCATGAAATGCTGATATTAAATTTCCATGCCAGAGGTCAAAGGTCAACACCAATGTTGACACAGAGCAGATAGCAGCTCCTTATTGGCATTGCTGATCACAATATGCAAAAATGTGTATGTGGGTAGCTGACATGAAATACATGTCCTATTTTAGGCAGCGTTTTGCTTAATTTTACAATTAATTGTTTTTTTTAAATAATTGTTTTGCTGGTTTAAAAAAAAAACTTTTTTTGATAATTAGAGGCACTAGTTGGAATATTTTATTTTATATATATATATATTTTTTTTTTTTCACTCCAGGACTATTTAAAATAAACTACTGAAGAAAAAATAACCAAAATACTAAAGAAAGTCCAACTTTATTTTTTTTTTCAAGTTTTAAAAAGAATATACGTTTTATATTCTGCACATTAGAATGTTGAGTGAATTTCACTAAATTCAGCATTTAACATGGTTGACTTTAAACTGTGTTTTAATATTAGATTAATATTATAATATATACTTTTAATATCTATTTATCACATATTGACCAGCTTTATTTAATCAATTGAGGGACTACATGGAATATTTGTACTTTAAAAATTCATTGTTTAGGACCATTTAAAATAAAATACTGAAGCCAAAAAAAAAGGATAAAAATAGTGACAATTTTATAACCCTAAAGTTAATACTTAAAATCTTTAATGGATTAATAGTCATTAACAGTCATTTTCATTCTGTACATTATAATGATGTGATGCCAAAACAGCACTAAATTCAGCTTTTAAAGTGGTTGATATAAAATTGTTTTGATTTTAGATAAAAAGCATATCACAAATGTTAATTCAACAGGGCCGTGCACAGGGGGTGGCTCGATGGCTAGAGCCACTGCCTCTCTGCTCTCATCGGCTGAGGTGTCCCTCTCACCAAAAAAGTGCTAACAACTTGTACAAAATATCCACGTTCTTACAATTAGAATGTCTAATCAAATTATTGTACCGATCAGATCTAATATAAATAACACCAAATTTGCTGTTGTTGGCACAATTTGTAGACAAAAAAAAGGAAGACAGAGACAGAGAGAGAAAGAGCGGAGGGAGGCTGCTAAAGCCAGTTTAACATTGCAAACATGGATTCAAAGCTCCAGCAAGCCAGCAGGTAAATCATCATATTGTCAGCGTGCAGTGTGTACCTAGAATAGGACTGAAGAATCTGAGTGCGATTCAAACACAGAATACTTTAATAAACAACTCAGGAACCAGGAGACGATGATAACACAACTAAACATGACAGAGAATGGACCAAGACTAAGGGAGAACTGAGGGCTTATAAGCAAGAACCAAACAAAGGGAACTAATGAGATGATTAATCAACACAGGTGGAAACTAATGAACTAATCAGGGAGCACAGGAAAACTAGGTCACCGGCAGGAAGAACAGACACACAGGGAAATCTAAACAGAAACAGATCATAAACGTGACACATATACAGTAGTCAACATTTGAAGGGGATCGAAAAAGTTCATCAAAGTTGTCCTAAGACATGAACGCATTTTGGTTTTAGGTTTTAGGACAACTTTGATGAAAGGTTTTGATCCACTTCAAATGTTGACTAGTATATATAGATATATCACGATGCAAAAACGGCAGAAAATGTTTAACAGTGGGACTTTTATTTTGATAACTTCCGCTTTCACCTGGAAGTACAACAGTAAACGTTTTGTAGACTACCTTGTGTTGCGAAGTAGATTCAGAAGAAACCTTCGTGATTTAAGAATTTAGTCGATTAAATCTTTATTAGGGATTTAAAAAGACTGATCAGTCGCTCAGCTGACATGGTAAGCGACGTCTATAAACTCGCAGGCTAGTTAAACTGAAGCTCAGTTGCTGTGTTGAGTAGAGAAGTTGTAGCTCAGGTTACCGGTGGCTACCTCCCATTAAAAAGATAGGTAACGTTAGCACAAATCGATACCGAAAAATGCTACCTATCAGATTGTGCTACCAGCATCTTATTCATGTGGGTTGAGGCTTTTTTAAATGTCCATACCTACTCCTACCCTAAACCTAAACTTGCCCTTAAAACAATGCAAATACATTTTTGGTAGCACAATCTGATAGGTAGCATGTTTAGTCGGTACACCGGACTGCATTGCTAATATACTTAAAGGGATAGTTCACCCAAAAATGAAAATTCTGTCATCATGTACTCACCCTCATGTCGTTCCAAACCTGTATGAGTTGCTTTCTTATGTCGAACATAAAAGAAGATATTTTGAAGATTGCTGGTATTCAAACAGTTGGTGGTTGCCATTGACTTCCATAGTAGGAAAAAAAATACTATGGAAGTCAATGGCAACCACCAACTGTTTGATTACCAGCAATCT